CACCCATCACTTTCCCTTCCTTTTTAATTTAAGGTGACACCCTTATAATTAGCTGTCACCCGCCTTATATACCGCATACTAGTTAATTAGATTAGCTGCAATTAGAACAATAATAATAATAAGGGTACAATTAAGACACAGGACACAACTTTAGAATGGGCTGAAAATAGATCCTTGGTGTGTAAAATTAGTACGGACTAAAAATAATACAGTAAGGACGCAACTTTAATTAGGGTGGGGCCTACAATAGATCCTTGGTGTGTAAATTAGTACAGCTTAAAAATAAAACTATAGGGACACAACTTAATAATTAGGACACAGGAAACCACAAACCCCTCCATTAAATTCTTGGTGTGTCCGTTAATACGACCTAAAAATAGAACAATAAGGACACAATTAAGACACAGGAAACCACGAACCTCTCTCATTAAAACTCTGGTGTTGCAACTATAGAAAGAGGGACACATTTAATTAGGGCTAATTATAATTAGATGGATTTAATTATAACTCGATAAGGACACAAGAAACCACAAACTTCTTTTATTTTAACTTTGGTGTCCCCGGTTTTGCCTTTACCTCTATAATCTAATAAAATTATTTTCAGTACTAATGTGTCCCTCTTATTTTTACGTTTGTATTTCCCTATATATGGTGTGGTTAATTAAATTAGTTATAACATCATTAGAATTCAGATAAATATTTGATGTTTAATTGGTATCACAATTTCTAAAGCGCCATGGAACCATTCATAAAGGAAACCAATGGTTAAAATAATTAAAAAAATCATAACAACCCAGACTGCTAAAAGAGAACCAATACTAAATAATACAGTAGCTAATGGAAATAAGAAAATAATTTCTAAATCAAAAATTAAATATAAAATACCAATTACATAATATAAAATATCAAATTTCATTCTTGCATCACCAATTGGTTCTAATCCACATTCATAAGCTGATAATTTTTCAATAGTTCTATTTGTTATACTAGCCCAAAAACTAACCTAATATAATACTCCTACTAATGCAATTAAAATTACAGATGATAATAGAAAAGCCATTTATTTTTATTTTTTCTCCTTCTTTTTTCATTCTTCTAAATAACACATACCTCTTAATAAACCCAGATATATTTAGAATAGTGTGTTATAGTGTGGGTTTGGGGTATTTAAAATGGGTTAGGCTTGATCTGAATAGGTTTGATGTGTGTTTAGAGTGGTATTAATTCCTCATTCATAAAGGGTGTGGCGCCATATAATTAGATAGGACAATATTACTTTGGATTAATAGGGAAAGATTTGGTTTGAGTAAGAGGATTTTACCAATTAAGATCAAGGTATGGGACTAAGAAAGGGTTAATATAGAGATAAGGGTATGAATAAAATGAGAGGGAATACAATAAAAACAAGAATATAGGGCCTAGGTATTAGGGTGAAAATAATACAAACACAATAAGGACATAATTAAGATATAGGGAACAAGGGACAAAACTAATACAAATAAACCTGAATACTAACACAACCCCAATACAAATACACCGGACAAAAATAACAGGAAAGGGAAAATAAGAAGGGGGGAAAGAATAAGGTAAAGGGGTAAGAATAGGGCAGAGGATATAGAAAGGACCCACACTAAAAATAGGGCAGAGAATATAGAAAGGACCCACACTAAAAATAGGGCAGAGGATATAGAAAGGACCATAGAGTAATTAGGAATATATATAGGGCCAAGTATGGGAGGTGTTAATCCCTGTGTTAGTATCCAGGTTTAGTATTAGGGTTTGATAGGACAGAGGACACCAGGATTTGTAGTAAAGTAGCACAAAATAGCACCTAAATTTAGAACAGGGCAAGCTTATCTGGACATTAAAACACTCCGTACCAACACTCACGCAAATTATAATGTACCTGACACCAAGACTCAAAACTTATATATAAAAAATAAGGAGAGAAAGAGGTAAAATCCTTCTAATATATTAAATTAGAAAGTGTATAGGAAAATAAGTATTCAATTAGAAAGCGTATAGGAAAATAAGAGCCATCATTAAGGAGTTAGGGTGGGTTAGATGATTATTAAATAGCACCTTAACAGATTAATAATAGATGATTGGTATCACCCATGTTCAATAAAAAATCATGCTATAAAATTTAGACATAGATACCTAGTTTATACATAAAATGAGGTAACATATAAGGTCTAACTAACATAGCTAAACGAGGCATAGAATTTGCTTTGATATAGATACGGTTATTACCTCTCTAAGTACAATCCAATTTAAAGAAATAAATCAACATAGAAATTAAACGAACATTCTCTTCCAAAGTAAAACTATCAGTACATAAGATTATTCCGCCTCTACCACCATGCTCAATTAATCCATCACCCATAATCCAAAAAGCCAACATTACAGGGTCCATATACATCCACATACAATCCGGCACAACTTTAACTTTAGCTGAATAAAAAACATGATAAAACTTTGTAAAAATAGGCAAAGAAAGAGTATTAAATTGAATCACACTTCCAAATTTATTTGTGGTTAAATAAGGAAATGAGCTACAATAAGGAGAAAATAATAAATAACAATACCACCCGAACGCGAAATTCTTTAATCCTGCTGTTAATCTAAATAATGCATTTTTCATATTACCGTGTTTATCTATACTCCCATCTGACTACATTAGCCCAATAAAAGCTGATAACTGAAAAGAAGACTAGGTTATAGTTCTTTTAATCAAAGGGGGGAGATTAAAACCAAGAGACATACTCATAGAATAAGAAGAGCCAAATACAACTAACCTAGTTTCAGATTGATTTGGTTGTATAGATTTGCGTATAACAGAAAAGGCAGACATACAATAAAGTACATCAGGATTAATACTAAAATTTAAGGCACCATCAATCATCCCAATAATAAACCAAGATGGTATGGCAAAACAAGTATCAAAAATTGTAAATATATATGTGTAAAAATTCATTTATTTATTTTATTTAAACCGAAGCACCCATTTACAAGATACCTCTATAAATATAAAAATATAAACATATAAATACAAAAAAAGAGGAAGGGGTATACTGGACAAAAATAAAACCCCACCCAAATATATTCAATTAGAAAGCGTATAGGAAAATTAGTGCCATCATCTAGGCAAATAAACCAAGGGCTTCAGTTAAGGCGAAACCTAAAATGGCAGTGTTAAATAATTCTTTTCTTAAAGAAGGGTTACGAGAAGTACCTTGAATTAGGGCGGCAAAAATTAAACCTACACCTACAGCAGCACCAGCAAGAGCAATAGTAGCAAGACCAGCTCCGATTAATTTAGCAGCCATTAACATTTTATAAAATTTTTATTAAACAGTCTTCCCTAACTCAAATTGACCTCTATTTATAATAAACCCAATCCAACCCTAACTCACCCCGGATCAATATACACGCCAATTCCAATACTACTTCACACCAATCCCAACGCACCCAAATTTATACCAAAAAATGCCTATACCAACACACCTAAATATCAGGGAACGTGAATACCAACACACCTAAATTAATATTAAGGCATATTTACCTAGCCCTAACTCACCCCTGACCAATATCCACGCTAATGTATACTAAGAAGCACAAATACCAACACACCCAAATTAGTACTCAGGCCACCCTAATGCACCGTGATTAGGATCCAAGGCAAAATTTTAAGTACCCAGCCAAAATAAAAACTCAGCAAAATTTTATCCGGGTTGTTTCTTTCCTCTCCCCTATTTACCGCACATCCTACTATTTAAATGTACACAAAAATCAGTACCCAGCCTAATTTAATCCGGGTTGTTTCTTTTTATATGCGCACCAAAATCAGTACCCAACCAGCCAGCCAGCCAGTAAAATATAATCGGATTGTTTCTTCTTTTTTATATTTTCTCTTTTTTCTCTTCTTTTATTGTCTTCTTTTACCCTTTACTCTCGCTCAACCCCAATCCAAATGCACCATAACAGGAAACAAGAAAGGTGTGGGTTTTATCTGGGTGTAATGTTATATACGAGCGGTGTTACCATTCTTTCTTAAAGGGCGTGGCCCCCTCCGTCTATACATCTAGGGTTAAACACAATTATTCTGATTTAGATATCTAAGGCGTAATTAATCTATGAGTGGTGTGGCCCCGCCTAAAAGAAATTAAAATTAAATTAAAATATATATGCTAGTCTAAAGAGTCAGGGTTGTTAATATTGCTATTGCTTAAGGTAGATGGATTTAACTGATCGAAGAATTCAAAAGGAAATGTAGTATTACCGTCTACATAACGGAAATAAATAAAAACTAAAATAAAAACTAAAATTAAACCTGTAGCCCAGGCTTTGGCAGTATTGGAGAAAAACATTTTTGATTTTTTTTTAATCAAACATCCGATATTTGTATCATACTAAATAATACCTCTAATAATGAGAAGAGTGAATAGAAGCATCAATATTATAATTTTATTTGGAGATAAGAGTAAAGTTGTATTTATTAAAAACACACCATATTAGATTTAATACCACACTAAACTATATTAGATTATCCGCTATTTAAACCACTCAAATAAAAAGTGAAATAAATGAAGCGGGTGACAGGACTTGAACCTGCAACCCTCTGATTAAAAGTCAGATGCTCTAACCATTGAGCTACACCATATGCCGGTGGTGGGATTTGAACCCACAAGTCAAGGACGGTGGATTTAGAGTCCACTGAGTTTACCAATTTCTCCACACCGGACTAACCTACCGATCCACAGGGGTGGCAGGACTCGAACCTACACATCATGGTACCAAAAACCATTGCCTTACCGATTTGGCTACACCAAAATTTATAATCAGGGCGATAGGAATCGAACCTATATCGCTGATTCCCAAAACCAGAATTCTGACCATTGAACTACGCCTTATGATGTATTTATATATATGTGTATGTGTGTGGGTGGTAGGACTTAAATATACATTGGAGTAAACCATTGATTTTCAGTTAGTTTGTGTGTGGGCGGTAGGACTCGAACCTACATAGGAATAAACCACTGATTTACAGTCAGCTCCATAACCAGTTCTGGCACACCCTTTTTATTTTCTTTATTAATCCCTCTCTGATTACTTCATTCCTAATTAATTTTAACCTCTCTAGATAAATCATGCTAAACCTACACCAGGACTTATTAGGTCTTAAGAACTTTATGATAACATAAGGAACACCCCCAGACGTATGCCGTTAAAGCTGTAATCAGGAGCCGGCAGCATGATCTTAATTTTATCTAATATAAGTTTTTGCGCCAATTAGAGTACACCCAGGGGTGATAGGAATCGAACCTATATCGTTGGTTTTGGAGACCAAAATTCTAACCATTGAACTACACCAACAATATGGGGGTGATGGGACTTGAACCCACAGCTGCCAACCTGACAAGTTGGTGTTTTACCAATTAAACTACACCCTACACAACCGAATATGAAAAAAAGAGTAATAATGATAAAAAATTAGTATTAGTTTTAACCACAAGTTCCCTTACGATTACTTTGTTATGACTTATCCCCTCTCAACATATTAAAAAATTATTCTATTTAGGAAGATTACTAAATTAGTAAATAAAGGTACTAAATAAGAAAAATGTAATTAATTTATTTAAAAGGGATTGACAGGCGATTTGTACAATCTTGAGACTTGAATTCACCGTAGGATGATAAACTACGATTACTAGCAATTCCAACTTCATTTAACCGAGTTACAGGTTAAAATCCGAACTGAGGTAACGGTTGTTAAATTGATAGTTACCATTGTAGCATGTGTGTAGCCCTTCTCATTGGGCCGTGCGTGCTTGAAGTGGGGTGCGTAATTGCACGTATCGCTGGTTATCAAGTCATCACTGAACCAACTTGCAACAGCCATGCAACACCAAAGGTCGAAACCATAAAGAGAAGGTAAGATTTAGGGCGTACCATCCAATTAAACCACATGCTCCACTGCTGGTGTCAAAACCCGCCAAATCAATTCCATTTCTATGTTGCCATAGTACTATGGAGGCGGAATGTTTAAATAATTAGTGTATTAATTGTAACATTCAGTATTCAGGGTGTGGACTACTCGGGTATCTAATCCGGTTTGCTCCCCACACTTTAGTGATTCAGTGTCAGTTATAAAATAGAGTGATGCTGTCGCTTTTGATGTTCCAACCAATATCTATAGATTTCATCCTTCCTTTGGTTATTCCTCTAACTCTCCTCTTATAACTCAAGCTATATTTATTTAAAATAAATCATTAGCCACCTAATCACACTTAATGCCTATTCAATATTTAAAAACGCAATCCCACCTGTATTACCGCGGCTGCTGGCACAGGTTTTGCCGGGATTATTCACTTAAATCAAGTTCATTATACTAATTTAAGTTAGCAAAATTTCTTCTGCTGTCATTGGCTGGGTCAAGCTTTCGCCCATTGCCCAATATTCCTCACTGCTGCCAAGGGAAGGGCCTTCATTTAAACCCTCTGTGGCCTATGCTAAAGATCACAGGCATGGTTTGCTTTTACCAATAGAAAAATTTTCATTCTCTAGTCATTTTTATTATGACAACCATCTACCTAATCCTTTGGGTGAATCATCCAATCTTAAGTATCACTTATTTGATTGGGTAAATAGACCCGTTACTCACCTTTCTGCAAAAAATACTTCTGTATTTATTTTACCAGCATGTGTTACGCCAAAGACCTGCGTTCATAATGAGCCATGATCATACACTGGTCATTTTACTATAGGAAATCATTCCCTTTCTTTTTTCTACTTTAAAAATAAGTCGTAACTCATTTCATTTCATTTATCCTTACTCCTATTTACCTCTTTAATTTGATTAAATATAAATTGATTAAATATAACCCCAGGTAGGAATTGAACCTACACTACCAGGTCATGAGCCTGGGTTGCTACCATTACAATACCGGTTTGCTTATTCTTAATTCTAATATACCTCTATTTCTATCTGTATTAATCTTATTTTATTATTCAGGATATATTTAAGATGGATTAGGGTATATTTAGTGTGAATCCTTTTATTTTAGTGTGTGAATATATTTGGGTTGGGGGTACTTTAAGGTGTGAGTCTATTTGGGTAGGTTTAGGGATATTTTAGGATGTGGGTATATTTAGATTGGGGTGGATATATTAGGTCCGAGTATTAATTTTTGTATGGTGTGAAATAATATATATGGGTATGGATTTGGGTTTAATGGGGCCTGGATATAAATTTGGATTGGTGTTTCCTAATATTAATTTAGGTCTGGGGTGCTTTTTATTGGGGTGGGCCTAGTTCTAATTTTGGTGCTGTATTATTAGGATTGGGTTGGGTTTAGTTATAATTTTTCCGGCTCCTTAAAATTAGGGTGCTGTCTTATTAGGATTAGGTGTTGTTTTATCCGGGTTTGGTCTGGTGTTATATAGGTTTTTATGTTTGCTGTATTATTATGATTTGGTGCTATATGAGTTTTTATGTTTACTGTATTGGATTACGCATTATTGTTTTGTGGTTTGTGGTATTATTCGGTTCTGGTTTTATATATATTTGTGATTTGTGGTATTATTCAATACTCTATTTTAGTGTTTGGTACTATTCAATATCTGAGGGTAGAAAGATAAAAGATACTAATACCCATAACACTATTTTTTTTTATAGAAATAATATTAAAATTATCAAGCCATATCTTTAATGGTAATACAAGTAATGAAAGTGAAAATATAAGCTTGTAAATAAGCAATTAATAATTCTAGACCAAGGAACATAGTTAGTAAAAATAGTGGTAAGGTTAATACAAGTAGAGAAGTACCTTTAAGGTAAGCAACCCAGATGAAACCAACACATACTTTCGCTAGAATGTGGCCTGTAATCATATTTACTGCCTATCTCAGACCTAGACTAAAAGTTCTAGTAATATAGGCTAAGATTTCTAATACAATCATTAAGGCTACTAAACCTAATGGTGTACCTGCTGGAATAAAGGCAGCTAATAATAATAATTTGTGGCTTAAAAACCCAATTAATAAAATAGCAACTAATAGTGTAAATGCTAAAGATAAAGTCATTACAATTTCTACAGTAGGAGTAGAACTATAAGGAACCATACCAATTAGATTACTGAATAAAATTAAGTGAAATACAGTATAAATTAAAGGTAAATACATAGTATATTTAATACCAATATAATTTTCAACCATAGATAAAATAGTTCTATAAAGAGATTCACTTAAAATACCCCACCAATTAGATACAATTTCACCACGAGTAGTACCAACATAGGTAATAATAATAGAGATAAAACCAGCAATTAAAAAATAAAAAATAACGTTATTAAGAGTAAGACCTAAACTCTATAGTGGATAAATTTCATATTGTTCCATAGGAGAACTGAATATTACTAATGTGTTCATATAATTTTTATAATGCTTGTTTTCATTCCCTAATCTTACACACCTCTATATAATTAACCTATAATACCCCCTTTATTCCTGAATTTACACACCTTTATAAAATTAGCCTATGAGACCCTTTATTAACAGGAGCCATAAATACCTAGGAACCCACCATTACAAACAAATAAAACAAGAATAAACCAATAAAACAAGAATAAACCAATAAAACAAGAATAAACCAATACCACCAAAAAATAATAATTACACCCCCCTTAACACAATACTACAACCAAATATAGTTGAAACATATACACACACACACACACATAAATTAGTAGGCAGGGATTTATACATACCACAATTAAAATAGGCAAGGATTTATACATATCACAATTAAAATAGGCAAGGATTTATACATATCACAATAAATAGGTAGTAATTTAGACATACCACACAATAAAAAAGCAAATAAGTAGGGATTTACTCATACACTAAAATAGCAGACGAATAAACAGACAATAATATATTTTATACCTACACTTACTACTCATATTTAGGAGCTAATTATACCCCCTTATCTATCAGCCACAAACCCCTTTTAGCTTGGTATTATTATTCATCCCAACACACTTAGCTTGGTTTTATTATTTCATTAACTCCTCTATCTTACCTTATCCCCTATACACTTAGCTTGGTTTATTCATCCTAACACACACTTAGCTTGGTTTTATTATTATTTTACCCAGTTCACCCCTATTACCAGATCCCATCCCACATACATTTAGCTTGGTTTTATTCTTTTACCTCTATTACACCTTACCCTCTACCGCCCACATCTATTTAGCTTGGTTTTATTATCTACTTTTCCCTATCCTATCCCCCTTTAGCTTGGTTTTATTATCCACCCACCTTACCCTCTTCCATCTCACATTTAACTTGGTATTATTATTTATTTCAGCTGTATATAAAGCAGGGGTTTAATCTTACTAGTTAATTCAAACAGCAGGGGTTAATTATAGTAGTAAGGGTTTAATTTTCCCGATTAATATTGCTGATTTTATTCCTTATTTTAATAGGGTTCAATCAAGAATAATAACACACTTTATTCTCTTTCCTAAATATTCAAGAAGCAAACATAATAAGGTGAGTGATATAGCTAATCAGTCAATAAAATACTACTTATATTTTGCAGTATTCCCTTATTATCCAATATGATACATTAAGATAAAATAACAGAACCTCTCTAAGGATAAAAAGCTACCTATAAAGCTAAAGCTACGGCAGACTCTGCACCAGCAAGCGGAAGGATTAAAAGAGTTAAATTAGAACCAACTAAGTCATCAAAGTTAAAAGAAAGATTAACTAATAGAATACCAACAGATAATAATAATAATTCTAAAGAAATTACTAACATAATTAAATTTTGACCACCATTAAATAAAAAAGCAAGAATACCAATTAAATATAAAGCTAATGCTAAGTTAGAACCGAAACCATTCATTTTTTATATATTATACCTATCCATCTATCTATATATTAATATTATTATTTAATTATTAACTTTTAGAAGCAGTAACTTTAATAATACCAATTAAAACAACCCATAAAGCAACACCAATAAGTAGCTAAGCAGTAGGATAACCTAAATAAAG